ATATGCACATATATTTACATATATATACACGTATGAATGTGTACGGTATATAGGCATATACACATAAAAATTATATCTTTATGAATTCATAAACCATTGTAATATAATACACGCTATGATATAATAATGCAAATAATATTCATCTATTGTATACTGTATGATATATTCAAATGTGTGGTAGATATAATGAAATATATTTATACAGTATATTATATCCAATTATATGATGTGACTATATTCACGTAGCATTTAGGTAATATAACTATATCAATCCCCAAATATATTAGAAATTACATTTGTCTTCCATAATTGCATATTCTAATAACATAATCACATGAAATAAAGCGATATGCACTTGACCAACCTATTCAAAACGTCGCTCTATCCCAACGTTTCCAGTTCCCAAGCACAGAGAGAGGAAATCACCATTTGCTAATCCCAACTAGGATTAGCAAAAACTGGCTTCTTATGGAAATTCAAATTAAAAGTCCCAACCTCCCTGCTCCCTCATTGGCTGCAAAAATCAAAAGGCGGGACTTGAAATGAAAACAGCTGTTGGCTATTGCCAGGGTCAATTATTGGGGCCAAAAAAAAAAAAAAAAAGGAATCCAGGCAATTGAACGTTGAAACGTTTCATGACCCAACTAGGGGACATCATCAATGTTAGAACGGAGTGGGGTTTGTTCCAGTAGCTTCCCCTTCAACGTTGGTAGGAAAGTTCTTGGTGGATCCAGTAAAGGACACCCTGATGAAGGAACCAGCAAGACCACTCCCACCAACACGGACAGGGCAAGCCACTGGAACAGATCAAACCTCACTCCCTTCTAGCACTGTTGATGTCACCTAGTTGGGTCATGAGACGTCTGCAAGAAAACCACCCAACTCAGAAAGCACCAAGGACCCCCACAGCATCATTTCTAACTTTGCAAGAGATGACAGCAGTAAACTTTTCTTTTTAAACCAAGAAAGCCATAGGGATCCAAAATGTAAAAGTTGACATTATTTGGGTGTGTGTGTGTGTGTATCTATCTGGTTGCTAAGAGTCAACGACAACTTGATAGCACATAAACAATCAATGAACATTTTTTAGGATTATAAAAAATGGGGAGATTTCTCTTTGGAGAAATACCAGATCTTGTAGACTTTGAAGGGCCATCCAAATTTTATCAAGCTTCTTAAGGAAGAAAAATAAATAATATCGTAGTAAACTCTTAAGCATAAGCTACTGATTTTATGTTGGGATTGAGTCCAATTCCACCCACCCCTCAGGTGTTCTAAACTCAGCAAGGGCTTGTATTTTAGAAGACTAGCAAGCCAGTAACTATCTTTTTAAAATATATTCAGGGTGAGTCCCGAGAGATCCTAGTTTCTCATTTTATTATTTCTAATCTGTGGCTTTACAGAGACCAGGGATGGCTGTGGGGGAGAGTCCCAGGTTGCTGTTTGCAGATGTTTTGACGAATGATTGAACTGTGCAGGGTTTTTGATGGATGGAGAAGATGGATGTCAATGATGGCTTGTTAAACAGAGCCAAACCTGTCTGCTGAATACAAATTACAGGCATTAAGAGACAGGCTGTCTTTCTTCTAAATATAGTTCAGAGTTTAAACCCCCCTTCCCTTAACCAGGCACTGATTCACACATAGACTGTGACCTTCAGCTTGGTCAATTCGGGCTTCCAAACTCTGTTAATTTTTACAATCAGATCAGGGCTGACCCTTTCCTCCCCTTATTAAAAGCTCCCGGCGGTTATTTTAAGAGTCTCGAAAGAAGAGATAAACCTGTTTCTGTGCTAATTTTTCTCCTGACAGAATCAATTTGTTCTCCTCCAACCTAGGCCGGTCTTTTCCATTTGATTTCAAATTGGATTTGGACCTCCAGGGATTTTGGATGTCAGCTTTCCTAATGTAGTGTCAGTGGAAAGACGCAGAGAGATAAAAAGTCAGCTTCAGTTAACAGGAGATTTCTCCTCCAGCCTTTCCTTCTTCCTGGGTTTTAACCTGGTTTGTCTGGCTGGCTTTCTCATTTTCTTCTGAATTGGTC